GCAAGTAACAGGAAACAGATGAAGATAACTGATTACTGTACTCGTATCTAGGTACAGTAAGGCACAACAATTGATGTAATCTACTGTAATTTGGTGAGTAGGCCTACCTTTAATATACAGTATTAGTGCGGTGTGTATTGTCAGTGAAAAGCGCTGTAATATGTCTTTGATATTACACATTTGGGCAATTCCACGTTAATGTTACGTTAGTCTGTACTTAACTACGTATTTCACTAAAAAATGCAACATTTTCACTCGGTTTTTGGTAGATTTTTACGTGACTAACATAAGGCTACTGTGGAAGTGCCCATTTCGGTTACAGCGACATTCGTTTATAACGACACTATTTTTAGGTCCCTTTGATGACGTTATAACCAAGTTCTACTGTATATGGTGTTAAATTGTAGAAAATCACACTCATAATAGTCACTGCTGTGATAACCTCCAACTCAGACCACACAGATTATTTTTTTTTTAACATTTTTCTGCTTCTTATCTTTAGCAAAGAGATGTCTCTTATAACAGTTATTACATTTTTAATAATCCTTACACATGCTGTAACACTGAGCCTGGCAGTAAGAGGCTCAAAGACCATGCTACTCTGAAGGCAAGTCTGTTTTTCACTATTGCTTTACATACCTTGAACAAGTGTTCTATATGACATATAGTATGTGTACTTACATTATATAGAGTCACATATGAATCAATCAAATACAAACTGTAACAATGTTACATGTAATAAAATTAAACTGCTGTTATGCTGGACAATGTTTCCGGCATATTAGATTCATTACTAACACTGACTCAAAACTTTCTGTATACTGTTTTCACATTTGCTCTGTGAATACTTGTTACAATTAAGAACCTATTTATTATGGTCTTTTGATTTAGGAATCAGGAGGTTGTGGGTTCACTCCCTAGTCTGTATAACAAGAGTACAAGTTGAACTCCTCCATTCCATAAGTACATGACAGCTACGAGGTTATTAAATGTCAGTAGTGGCACCAGCATTACATTTACTATACTTGCTCTTCAATTTCTCTCTCTTCAGAATTTTCAGGTGTGCCTTTATTTTCTTTCTCTATCTGAAGAGGGAAACTGCCAACTCAGCCTTAAAAATAAATAGGCACCTAAAAACACTCTTTTCTTTTCTAAAGGTTCAGTGTGAAGAATAGCTTAACAGAAGTGTAAATTTTCCTTCCTGCAGCTGCATATTTGTATATGCTCTTCACCTCCATCTTTCAACTTTTCTTTCGGTACCTGGTACTCCATCAAGTGCTGTTTCAGATTATAAAGTGAATTAGCATTAATCACAGGGAAAACAGAATTTCTACACTATATAATGGTATACAATCTATGCCTTTAATGTTCGCACAATAATATAAGTGGACTTATCCCACAGAACATATCTGCCCCAGACCATGAGGATTTCCAGTTATGTTCTTTCATTACTGTTTCAGTGACATGAATTTGTTCAGTGTTTCATGTAAAAAGCTGTATAATCTAAAACGAAGACTGCACTTTGCAGTGTGATTTCAATATAATGGAATTTATGATGTCAGCCATGAATAATACAGAGAAAGCTAACCTCTGTTATCTATGTGGGATAATGTTTTCTCGCATGTGAAATGTAAATCTGTAGCTTTAAAAGTGCAAATTAAAGTAACACACCCACCTAAAAATATATCCCTAGAATATGATTCTAAACACAGTAAAACCTCATTAATGTGTCTAGTATCACCAGATATCATGAAAAGACTGAATAATATGGAGCTTAATATGTAAGATTGCTTCTCATATTTACCGTAACACAAGTTCTTATAAGTTCATAATTATTTTTTATTCCATCCCCTATTTCATTATATACACTGCTATATTACAGTACAGTAAATTCCCAGTTATCCGGTATTCAAGCATCTGAAATTTTCATCCAACCTGCAAAAATTTCAAAGAGAATTTACCATTTATATAAATTTATTCAAAAACAAATTTGCTAAGTGCATACATTGACTCTTCTAGATGCTATTAGCAGCGCTAACCATGATCTGTCCTCAGCAGAGGCCAGAACTGGTCACATTACAGTACATGTATCCAACATCATTCATGACCCATCAATCTATTATATACCTTAGGAAAACTCTGACACAAGAACCAAATCAAAAGTATACTGTTTTGTCTTTATATTGGGTATCTGTAAAAGTCTGTCTCATGCAATCAGCAGATTCACATACCCAGGACACACTATTCCCCATATATGCCAGATAATGGGGAGTTCACTGTATCAAGAGGTATCAAGTTATTACACATCTGACCTGTTTAGAACCTCAAATGATATGCCCTAGTGCTATGTGCTGACAACCTCTTTAAACTGCGTTCTTCTAAACAACACACACAGAATTTTTCCATATTTCTCAGTCAACCTAAAACAAATGAGGTCTTGTCAAGTTTATTATACATTACTACTGTAGTATGAACCACACACTGCAATGAACCGCATAATGTAAACAGCACACATTAACCACTGGCTCCCGACAACATGAAAGAAGAGGGATCTATTCTCTAGGAAAATGGTAACATTATGATACTAACATGGCGAGCCAGTGCAGCAAACACTAGAAGAAATTTGACAAAGCCTAGGCGTGGTCTACTGCAGTAACTAACATGAAGCTACTCACATCTTATAACATTTTGAAAGATCATTTTTAAATATCAAATTGTGGAGTTAGGATCACCTAATTATTAAATTAGGTTTAATGTATAGTTAGTGGCTTTTAACTTTAGCCGCAAGGAAAGGCAAACGCTGTTGTGGAGCACGTGAAGCTGTACGCTTGCTGTGGTGACGTTCTGAGCTACTCCCCGAGCAGAAAACATTACCTACGGAGACCAGGAGTAGTACTATACACCTGACCACACTCCAAGACACTACATTCCAAACTGGTAGTACCCACACTGACATAAGCTGATAAGACTGCTCCCCCCACTCCATGAGAGATGGTATGACCCCTCTACCATGGCTAGAGTTCCAAGGAACTAACAGTATTGTTACATATAAGACTTTTATCATATGTACTACTTTTATTCTTATTTTATTATATTTTATTGTTAATTTTAACCCAAGTCTCTTACAAGTTTTGTCTAGTTTGTGAATTCAATAGGAACTAACTTGTATGAGCCATTTATAAAAATCAGAAAGTTAACATTGAAGTTTGGTAAGAGTATGTGAGAAACCTGTAGCACCTGAAGATGACCCATTTGAGGTTGAAACATGTAGTGTGTGCTATATACATAAATAAATAATAAAGTATTGCGTTGACAGTAAAAATTATATATGTTCAATTAATTTTTAGTACTGAGGTTTCAGAGTGATTGAAGGTGAAATAACAAATAGATTTCATAGTGATTTGAAGTGCTAGTTTCTGTGTTGAGATCCACTGCCAGGAGACAACTAGTGAAGATGGAGAATCCAAGTGCGTGTGCAACGGTGAACTGAAAGTGTGTAGAATAGTGATAGCATTATAATTTAGTGTGATCAAGAGAACTTGTAACCGAACTAGAACCTGTCATGCATACCCCATACACGTGACAGCATTAATAAGGCTTTACTGTACTTATGAAGAAAGTGGCAATGGCATACACATTACTGGATCTAAGTGTTGATATTAAATACAGCTAACTGTATACAATGAAGCTAATTACAACTACAAACTTTTATGAACAGGTATATAATCTTGTACAGACTTCAACTTATAAGTCAGAATGTATTTCAATATGCCATTACAAAATTTTCTTAAAGGAAACATAATTGTAGAGCTCAATATAACAAAAACAACTTCTGGTTAATGCAACTCTGAGCAGCTTTGTGAGAGGTGTTTCGTAAGGAACTACTCACACAATTTCAGTCCCACTTTATGATCATGACAGGGTAAACAATTTGTGTGCCTGGCATGATACAGATGCAGCTCAGTGACATCACTACAGTGTGACAAGTTCTGGCTACAGGAACCTTTCTACTTATGTACTATGCGACTGCAGCTTTAACATGCTACTCTGCATTATGGCATATATTAAACTTAAATACTGCATATGCTGTATAAATGCAATGAAATGAAACAGGAATTTTTAAATTTTGTTGCACTGTGGTTTGCATCAATCATATTTCTTTTTGTGTTATGTGAACTGAGGTTTACCCACTTCTTACAAAAATCTACATTCATATGTGACAGGAGACTGTTTATGATTGACTGTGTGCATATATGTGATGCACTCAGAGAGGACGTAATTAGTCTGTCACTGATAGATGGCATTAAACATCACACAGCCTTGACATGTATGTGCTTTCACATCTAGGACAGATAAAAGGAAGAGGAAAGAAATACAGAAAGAAAGAAAGTAGGTGATAAAGTTTGTATGACACTTCCCACTGACTCTTCAATGGGCCTCTTCAACTAGTGTTTAATACTGAACTACTGCATTATTTAGTCCTTGTAATATGACAGTTTAAAAATTAGAATTCATGGTTAAAATAGCATGGAATGCAGACTAGCAAGTTTATTAACATGATTTCATAAATCTCCACTTTATGACACATTTTTTCCAAAGAAACTACACATTACCAGTAATTCAAATATGCAGGATATTTTTACATTACGGAAGTAACTACATCATATTATTCTCATCAACTATTAAATCAAAACAGGCAACGGATTTCCTCAGTACACAAACCCAGATAACATGGTTTCACATTTTGCATTCATTTTGAATCAATAGTGACAGCTAACAAATAAATTCCATGGAGAAGTGTCATTCCTAAGAAGCTAATAATTGCTCAGCTTGCCAAGAAATGCCTTGCTATTATCAAACCTGAAGGTTTATTACTGTGTTCAGAAGAGCTTATCACTGGACCATATTCTGAGAGAGATGAATTTAGTCCATATGCTTGCACCCTGTTTATTAAAGATCCACTTTAATATTAACGTTTTGTTTGCATTTCTCATTTCTTCTGTACATGCTAGATACCCCATCCTTGTTATCTTTGTCTTATCCTTTCATATTTTATTGAAGGGTAAAATTCATTAAGCTCTTCATTATTCAGTTTTCTTTCAGCTTCCTTTTCCTTCCCTTGGGTTCAGATATTCTTCTTGGCATCCTGTAATTAATGCTGATTCTAAGTGAAATAGCATATGTTCAGAGTATCATGTTGCTTATGAAAACAGCTTGTTATGTGGCACAAAAGAAGCCTACAGCTCAGTATCTTCTGTCATATACTGATTTATGGTCTGTAGACAAATTCACGTGGCAGTCAAGGATCTATATCAGGTGTTACCAGAAGCATATTAAGCAAGCATTAACAACACACAGTACCACTGTAACATAAAGCTTTGTATATTATGGCTGTGAAGACCAGGCATAACAGTTTTATCATTTTGTCTTGCTTTAAAGCTTTAACATATAAAGTACCAAAATGGTACAATAGTGCATTTATCCAAACAGAAGCCATACAGAAATAAGATATATCCAGTCTTGAAAAGCCAACAAGAATGGAAGGGTATACCTCACTTTGGTGTAAACCGAGCTTCCAAGTGTCCCTTCGTGGTTCTGAATCTTTCACTGGTGTTCATTTTATGTAGAGAAATTTGCCTAGCTAGCTAGCAAAAACTATAAATTGATTATTACACAATATATCAATTATGTCTGTGCAACCACCTGTTAGACATTATTGCCATACTGGTAGATCTTGACACATAAAACTAATTCAAGTGAAACTGATGGCGTGCAAACTCATATTACAATAATTTATAAAATTCATAAAAACGCTTATTCTAATGAATACTTATAATATCCAAAAATGGTTGAAATACATAAATGTAAGTTCATCTCTTGACTTTCAATTATACAGGATGTCCCAGGAGTTTGGTGCCATACTTCAGGAGCATACTGATGGTTCCCTATAGAATAGCTTTGAAACAGGAACCCAGCGCTAGGTAAAGTAAAGTAAAGTAAAGCTATCCCTGTAACAGACCGTGAAGGCCCATAGGGTTATGAGTTGTTAAGGGTCACACATTACCTTGACAATTGGCTCAAAGATGTCAGCCTTACGCGCCGGCCGCGCTTCTCTCTCCAGGAAAACGATTTAATTAATTCCTGGTATTGATTTCTGTTAGAGGCTGAGTAAACCCCAGGGCCTAGTGCGGCTGGAAGGATTAGGTCAATTGAAAAAAATCCAATGACCTCATCGGGACTTGAACCCGCGACCTTCCGGCTTGTAGCATAGTACCTTAACCACTACACCACCACGTACCCCACTGTCTGGGCGGGCATCATTGGTGATCACTTGATTGGGCCTTTCCTCCTATCACCGCAACTCAATGGGCCCTTTTACAAGGTGTTCCTGGAACATATCCTTCTGACCTTGCTAGAAGACGTGCCACGGATTGTGTGGAGGTAAATGTGGATACAGCATGACACTTCAGCATTGTATCACGAGACTACCTGGATGCTGCTTTTCATGGTCAATGGATAGGAAGAGGAGGCCCAGTGCCTTGGCCACCCCGATCTCCAGACTTGACACCTCTGGACTATTGTCTGGGGCCATGTGAAAAGCTTCATCTATGACACACCTGTGGATAACGAATTTGAGCAGTTGGCCAGAATACTTGTTGCATGTGACATGATCTGTGAGACACCTGGAATATTTGAAAGGATGTGCTAAAGTTTCTTTCGTCGATGTTAACGCATGCATTGAAAATGGAGGGCACCAATTCCAACATCTGCTCTACCAGGCGAGTCTTAAGAGTTTGGAGGGGGAAATATGCCTGTGCATGCTCTTCGACATTGAGGTGCCAAGTTTAAACAAAATGATATTAAATGCCGCCCTAGCACTGCTATTTTACGTTTGCGGACATGGGTTCCTATTTCAAAGTTGTTCTATAGGGAACCCTCAATACGTTCCTGAAGTATGGCACCAAACACCTGGGACACCATGTATACAATACAGTATATTTGTATGGTTCAAATAATTATGTGGGTACAGCAATATTTCTCTTTCTTTGGACTAGTTATCACAGGGATATGTACAAAAAAAAATCAACATTCTCGTCGTCATTATTAGCATTATCGAATCGAAGAGTTATGGATTTTCTTAAACTCACTACTCATAATCAACTGCTAATTAGGTTCATTTATTTACGAGTGAAAGTCTTACCCACATTTCATTCATAATTCACTGCGTGTACAGATGTGAGAATAAATGCATCAACTCATATCAAACTGCAGTAACAGACCAACATACGTTGCTCTATATATGCCATGACTGTAATACATGCACCTTTTGGCATTACATATGTAAGAAATGGTTGTGACACAGCCATTATACTTCACTACTAGCCATAAAACACATTATGGTAGTGATACATATATTGTAAATGAGCCCACAACTGCCATTCTAGTCTAATCAAATGAACAGATATAAGTTACCACTCTAATAATGAAAGTAACTTTTTATAACATACATATATACATCTGAAGTTCCCACACTTATGACATTATACTGATAGCACAGGTCATGTTTGTTACACAATGACAAATCAAGAACATGGAATGACTTTCACTCGAACAATGTTACTTTGTTCAGATTTAGTATATACGGTATTTTGTCTTCTCCAACAGGGGGAAAATTCTGAAGATGTTAATCCATATTGCTCTCCTATTTTGCTTTTTGATGAGCTGCTGATTTTACATAGATGTATTATTTCAAGTTTTATATTCAAGTCTAAGCTCTGCTGTTTTGTTGCTATAATTAGGGTTCTTCTAAATTTTGTAGTTGGTGCCAGCTGAAGCACAGTAGTTGTTTGATGGGGACCAAGACCTTAAACATGCGCCTGTGTAGCTGTGTTCTGGCATCATCATCCAGCATTAGTGGAAGCTCAAGAGAAGGAGAAACCATGTGACAAAGTGGGAAAGATACTGCACACTGCCTCCATGAACTAGGCAATAAAAATACAATGAAACAACCCACTGGACTGATGAGGAAATTCAGAGGGTATCATGTGATGTATATTTCTCAATCGTTAAAACTTGCGGGGGGTAAGCTGCTCTCAGATTCTGGAATGAAAGCTCTCTCCTAGACAGGGGTAGACCAGAGAGGGTGGTTAGATGGGACTTTATGGACTGCAAGTCATAACTTGAGAAGCAAAGATGCAAGTATAGTTGAGAAGCCTCTAGCAAAAGAACCACTTGAGAGACAGCCATATAGATGGGAAGAAACCATTAATAAGAATCTGAAGGTTTTAGTAATGCAGACAGGTTACGTATTGAGTCCTGTGATAGATTTTGTGTTACAGAAGTGCTGAACTTTTGGATTCTATTTACCTGCACCACGAAAGAAATACCTTCAATTCTGACATTGTGTGCACAGAAAACAAACTACCCTACTTCCCAATCAAATTAGGTTTCAGAAAAAAAAAACTTTGTATAATTTAAAAAAAGCCAGGTGAATAAGCCCCCCCCCAAGGACCATCTTCTACAGCACTGTAATATCTGAAAATCAACATTTTAAAAAAATAACAAATATTTAATTGCAAATTTAACATAATCCTACATTTGGGGGAAACCTCATTTTGTATTCTGATAAATACTTCATTAAAGCAGGAAACTTTGCTTAATGGCAATCAAAACAATAATTTTGGCACTGAAATTGCTATTTTGAGTGATCACTTAACACCAATCAAATGAAGAAATACAATGTTTCAAATAACTTTTACTTGTACTAATCACAGACATTTGATACAGACAATTTTGGATCAACTTATCTTAATATCATGAAGCAGAAACTTCATTCCTTTTCCAGTCTTCAAAATAATAAGATCAAGCCACAAGTTCTACTACTGACTTCACGTTGGAGAGTTTCAAAGTTTTCTATTACATTGGTTTCCATTACTTGTTTAGGCAGAAGCCTTCCTTCTGTCATGGTGCTGGGATGGACCTAAATCTCAATTGCTTCTGATGATACAGCCCAGATATCTGGATTTGATAAAGAGGCTGCTGATGATCTGGAGCTGGATGCAGTGTTCCAAGTTGATGCTGTGCCCCACCAAGCCCAATTTGTCCAGACGAACTAGACATACATGCTAATGGTGCTCCTTTATCCTAGTGTTGATCTAACAGCCTGTTTGTCCAATGCAGACCTGACCACACCCACAGGGTATACCATGTATTTCTGGTGTCTTCGATTATTTATCATCCTTGAACAGCCAAAGGAAGCTAGACTTTCCTCAGCACGATATCCTATGATTTTTTGCCACCACTGCAAGATTTCCCCCTACAGCAAGTATTCTGATGGATGGTACATAAAAAGGGGAAGGGGGAACTATGTTGTACAAATCTTGTGGTTTGTGTCCATGTAATTCTTCCAACAGCTTTTCCATTCATCCACTGTTTCAAGATTTACATTTCTGCTCTGTCTGGGTTCTGTCATATGATTTTATGCTGTATTTTGAACCTATCTATCCAGCCAATGTCAGCAGTGACATTACCTACCCCCAGTCTGTGCACTAAGATATAGCACCTTCTGTTTCAGCTGAGGGCCACTCACTTTGACAGTGCACATGCAGACCTGGTTAAACCACACAGCAAGTGAAATCTCCAATTCAACTAATAGGAATGGAGAAATTTTCTTCCTTGGAAAGGCCCACACTGAATATACGACTTCTCCATTTAGGTATGATTTATCATTACTGCATGCAATGCTGATATTTCAAGGTCTATCAGTGATGTTAATTCAACATAAGTATGCTTGTATGCATATCACTGTGTGCCATAATATGTATTTTGTCCTTAATACTGAATGCCCTTCATTTTCTTGACTGTTCATCACACAGGCCTAAATCCATTTACAGCCATGGCAATTACTTATTGATAATACAGTATATCCTTCCTTGACTTAAAGGACTAACTGGGGAGGGGGGTGTCCAATATTCCCAAATGTCTGTAAAATAGCATCTGTATGAAACCAAAAGTCCATTAAGTAACAAGTGATGTATTCTGAAGCAAAACACAACCTGTATTTATGTGAAATATGAAAAATTTTGCTATTACATATCATGCATTAGAAAATAACAATACATAATAATAAATTATTCATCTCTCATTTAACAATCCAAAAACAAAATAAACGATATGTAGTCTATTCAGAAGAGGAATCACTTTGCTCCTCTTCCATGTTTGTTGCCAGTCCTGGCAAGAGGGTGACACCATTAGCCGAGGAGGTGCTAGGCTGAGGTGACACATGTTTTGGTTGGCTAACTGGCTTGAAGAAAGCATCCAATTTCAATCGCGTTTTTGAAGTTTGGGGCCTCTGAATAATAATCTCTGTCACAGCTCAGAAATGGGATTAATGTGGCTGAAATTCAGGATCAGATGATGAATCAATAAAGGGGATCAAGTCGTCTTGATGAGATTTTAAATCAGTGGCCCTTCTTCTTCTTCTTCCTCCTCCTCCTCCTCATCATCATCATTTTCTTTGTCCATTTTATTGTGAGCCAAAACTTCTTCATTTTCTCCGTTATCACATACATACATACATATACTTTGTGAAATATGTTGCCCTTGTGTCTTCATTTTTGTCAGTTTCATCTTCCGATACAATTGCCTCCTCCAAGAACATTTTCCTGTATAGCTGTTTTGTTGCAAGTATCATCTTGATCCAAGTGCTGGATGATGGATGTCATATTTTTCAGCAGAAACATATACCTAGAATTTCCATCTTGAGTGCATTAAACACTCTCAGCTGGATGGTCACAAGCACTGTCTAACACAAAAAGAGGTTCTACATTTTGTGGTGGTATGCCCAGGACAACTTAATATGCCTGACACAAAATGTTCAAAAAGTAATTGTGAAAAATGGCCAATGTAAACCATGTTTATTTTTTAATAATGATATATGACAGGTAGTTGTTTCACATGATCTTGCAGGACTCTTCGGAGGAATGACATGCCAACAATAACTGGCATTAATCGATGTGAACCATCAGTGTTTGCATAAAGTAGTGCCAAGATCCTCTCCTTGATTATTTTCCTCCCAGGAGTCGACATTTCATGCTTGTAGGTCTGGGTGTTTTCTGGAAATGAATGCCATAAACAAACCAGTCTCACCCACATTGTAGATTTGAGACTTTAAAAAATTCTTGTCATCTACAATTTTAGTCAGTTTTTATCTAAATGGTTCTGTTTCCTCCATCAGGGCACTCAAAGCTTCTCCATTAGTTCTTTTGTTCATAATCCCATGCCGTTTACAAAACTGCTGAAGCCACCCATTACTCACTTTGAAACTGATTTTCATGTGATTTGCTAGCATGTTTGGTGCAGGTTTAAACTCTGCCTCTCGTACCCATCAACATTGCAATAACATGGTTGCATACACCATTTCAATATAGCATCTTCCAGTGAAGATTCTTATGCCATTTTCATGTTTTCTTAGTTTATATGGAGCATTTGCATCACAGTAAAACACTTTTTTTAACATATACGTGGTGTGTTCAAAAAGTATCGAACCTTTGGTCAGCAGAAATACATTTATTGATTTGGAGGTACAAAACCCTAATCCCCTTCAAAGTAGTCTCCTTGGTAATGCACACACTTCTCCCAGCGCTTCCGCCATTGTTGGAAACACTTCTGGAACGTGTCTTTTGGAATGGTGATCAGCCAGGCTGTCATATTCTTCATGATGTCTTCTCTTGACTCAAATCGAGTTCCTTTCAGCGGCATTTTCAGCTTGGGAAATAGCGAAAAGTCACACGGAGCCTGACGAACCACAGGATGTGTTTGGCGACGAAAGTCTAAATCAGATGTGCAGAATGGGCGGGTGCGTTATGATGGAGCTGCCAAGTTTTTGCTGCCCACAGATCCGGTTGTTTGCACCACACAGCATCACGAAGGTGACGAAGGACCTCCTGGTAGTATTCCTTTGTGATGGTTTGGCCTTGTGGTGCGTACTCATGATGCACAACCCCACGGGAGTCGAAGAAAACGGCCAACATCACCTTGACATTGCTGCGGAACTGCCGTGCTTTTTTTGGCCTCGGGGATGTCGGATATTTCCACTGTGACGACTGCATCTTGGTTTCTGGGTTGTACCCATGAACCCACGACTCATCGCCTATGATCACGGTGTTCAGAAAGTTGGGGTTACTGTTTGCATTGTCCAGCATGTCCTGTGCGATTTCCAGACGGCGTTGCTTCTGCTCCATTGTTAGCATTTCGGTACAAATTTCGCAGACACTCTCCTCATGCCCAAATCCTTGGTCAAAATTGAATGTACCAATCCAGTGCCTACCCCTATCTCTTTCGCAAGTTCTCAGACTGTGATATGACAGTCCTCCATGACCAAAGTCCACACTTACTCAATGACATTCTCATTTCGACTTGTTGAGTGTCTGCCTGAACACGGTTTGCTGTCCACTATGTGCGGCCATCTTTGAAGAGGTTGTACCACTCCTTTATCCATGAGTTGCTCATGGCATCATCCCTGAAAGCCTGTTGAATCTTGGGAATGGTTTCCACTTGGGTATCGCCAAGCTTTTGGCAAAATTTGATGCAATATCGCTGCTCATGTTGTTCCATCATTTTACACCTTACTGGAATCTGACAAGCGCTCACTACACATCCTCACTCATAGGCCAACTGCCAGCGATAGATGCTTTCTGCGGGCGGGAAAAAATTCACGACTGCGCATGAATGTCCCCTCCACATCTCCACTGACGGGAGCCTCCTGCGCTTCATTGGTTTACGCGGGAAAAAAGAAGGTTCGATACTTTTTGAACACACCACGTATTTTACTTTGCAAATATTTGACAATTTTTTTCTTCACATCATATTTCTCTCTCTCTCTCTCTCTCCTCTAGCGCATGGATGCACCAACACGCATGATAGTTCGATTCTAATTTTTGTTTTACACTCAAATTTGTCCTTTTTATTTTTTTGGTCCATGGTGTATTAATTAAAGAAAAAGTATTTGTAACACAGAACAAACCAAACAGAGCATGACAAATATTTTATATGTGATATAATGATATATGTACTGGATACGCTTTACATTCACAGCATAACTAATGAAGTACACATACATGACATCAACCAGACTATTAAGGGGGATGTACTGACATATCAACCAGAGAATAATTGGAAAGTACTGAAGAATTTTGTCCGTTAAATCCCAAATTCATTAAATCAGAGCCTGTTAAACTGAGGATTTACTGCATGCACATTGCTAATGATCACCAGAGTGTAATTTCAACTTCATTTCTAAAGATGGCTGGGATCGATGAAAGAACTGCATCTGTCAAGATTATAAGCTGTTAAACACCTTGCAAATCAACTGGTTGTATATGCTGCCTGTAACTAGTAAATAACGAAGCTATATTAGAAACTATAATATCAGAAAGCACACTGTCTTGCCTTCATGTGACTAGTTATGAACCACTGTTCAACAGTGCTACGTAACACATATTACAAATGTATCATTTATCAAATATCTAAATCATAATTGGTTGCAGAATACATTCTATATTGCAATTTACCATGGGAAAGACAAATATAAAACCACCCTGTAATATTCATAGGTGCAACAACTGTAATATTTATCAGCAATTTAATGCTTACCTGTTACCAGTCCCCCCACTGTCTCACCACAACTGTATGGCTACAGGGGAGACCTGATTGGCAGGTCATCTCTTCGGGTCAATTGAATATACACTGATAGAGCTGTCCATGCTTCCTGCTGCCAGGCACACTCGGTGTGGATGGAATGCCAGACAACTAACAGGACCAATCCTTGGCCCCATGAAACCTTCATGATATTTTATCGTGTTAAGGGCTGACCCCTCCATATCGTAGATAGTTATGTACTGGTTCACAGAGCCACTGAAAAAATCAGATCATCAAATATCATCTTCATGAATAAGGTCATTTGCCCTGTTCTGGCTTCCAAACATAACACTCTAACTATGAAATGATTAAAACTAGCTGTCCACTGCATCCATGACTTTCCTTGGTCTCTCCTTCCTCTGGATTGGTGGCCCTAGGACACAGGAATATTCCATTCTTCCAAAATGTTCTGCCCATCTTAATTGATATCAGTTGTTCTTATATTTGCATTTTATATTTATATTTATATTATATTTTATATTTGCATTTGCATTTCACATGTCCGCACCAAATTAATGATGAAGTAGTTGGCATCCAGTGACTGCTTGCAGAAAATAGTAGGGGGAAAAAAAAACTAATGATTTTTGTTTGCAAGTGAACTATACCGACCAAGCGACTGTTGTTCTTCAGTGAAGTTTAGTGTCAACTTTTGTAGATAGAGGGTGTCACATGTTCAGTGCAACGAATACCCATGGCTGTTAATTTCGGTTTTCCAGACCAGAGCCGCTATTTCCTTGAAACAGCTCCTCAAATATCATCACGAGTCTGACTGGACCCCGTTCCAGACCCACTATTTCTCAGAAAAAATATGGTTGCGCCGGGAATCGAACCTGGACCTCTGGATCTGTAGCCAGGAATGCTGACCACTAGACCACAGAGGTGGTCGCAGAAAATAGTATATACTATTAAATACTGGCACAAAGAATAGAATAAAGATATTTGAAAAGAGCTAAATTTAATTTTGTCAGAAAATGCATCTTACTTATAAATTACAATTTATTTGCATAGAGATATTGGGTTATACACCATCGTCAGAATCCTATAGTAACTACTTACAATTTATTTCATAATGAAACTTTTAACATACCAAGCAAATGTGTCAGCAGCTGTGTGAACCGCCATGGCTGTCATTCCCTGAGATGTTTCAAAAGTTGCCACTGAAGAATTCATCCGAAGGTCAAACAACTTTACATCCCCGGCCATGCTAGAACAAAAGTGGGTCTTGAAATAATAAATGGGCTAAGTTCAAATATCAACTGTGAAGATTAATACAGAAAAGAACTGCATAACATATGAATCACATAAAACTGCCAGTCAGGTAGTGATGTGAAATTTCCTACATTTGTGGTATTCAGTACTCCTGTAAATTTAACTCTTCCGGCCCATGTTACAATTCTGTACGTCCTATTGAAACTTAACACATAAGTGAGTGTTGTCCAAAGCACCACTTCAAAATAAAGAATGATTAATTAAAAATAACTTAATACCCATGTATTTATCGTCCATCAATATTGCAACACTTGTTTATTCACTACTTATTTTAATTTTAGTTTAACATTATGAGCTTTGACACTACATGTTTCGGCCCCAAACGGCCATCTTCAGCTGTCTTGATGTTACAAATATTTTATTAAATTATATTAAAACTGCTACACTGTCTTAGTCCATGTTAAATCACATGATGTAGTTCTTTTTTCAAGGTAAAACCAGATAAAATCCTTTAAAATTTCTATTATACCCACGTTATCTTTATGCATTTTTTATTTCACCTCACAAGGGGTGTCGTCCATTGTTATTAATGTATGTCTGTCCAAGGTGTTTTTTCGGCAGCTTGCCCCTCACATTCATAGCCTACTTTTCAGTTATGACTGCCATATGCCCCTGGTTTGTGTGTTTCCTCCACAGCGTGTGATGTTGTCTTTACTAGTGAGGGACAAGCTGCCTAAAAAACACCCTGGACAGACATACATTTATGAACAATGGACGACACCCCATGTGAGGTGAAATAAAAAGTGCACCAAAATAACGTGGATATAATAGAAAATTTATAAAGAATTTTATCTGGTTTTACCTTGAAAAGAGAACTACAGCGTGTGATTTTAACATGGACTATGACAGTGTAGCAGTTTTAATGTAATTTAATAAAATATTTGTAACATATCAAGATACCTGAAGATGGCAGTTTGGGGCCGAAACATATTGTGACATGTTGCGCAATGGGGGACAACCCCTCCCTACCCAGCAGTGATGTGATGGGTGAGTCAGCGCTCTGCCCCCCCCCCCCCCACTGTGACATGGCATGCAACGCCGCTGTCGACACGGCGTCAGGCAACAGTGGTACCGACTACGTAACAGGCAAGCGCTGTGACTATATAAGAGAACTACACTGCCTACAAAGCGAGTTGAAATGTGGCTGTCACCGAGTGCAGTTGAAGTTAGTTAAGGGCATCAGTCGCCAAAGACAGTCCTCCAGTCAGCAGAGAACAAGTTAAAAGTGTATCAGCTGCCGAAGTGAGTTCTCAAGTCAGCAGTGAATGAGTTCTCAAGGCAGCAGCCTACGAGTTGAGTTGGAATCTAGCCAGCAGCGAGCCGTTAGAGTTGAGTTGGAAAATAGCAGCCGTCGCGGAAAGAAGAAACGGACGCGTGTGATAATCAGTGATAGTATGTGATAACGGAATAATAATTGGGAGTGTGTGATACAGTGACACTTTTATAGCTCTCGTATCGTAATTAATACGTGTATACTACTGAGGACAGAGTGAATTGATTATCGTGAATAGGGTTATAAATTGTGAAACCCCGCAACAGTGTTGTAATCAATTGTAGTTACAACTTGTAGGTTGTTAAATAAACCAATTAACAATCTGAACGGCGTCTTCAGTAACGAAACACGTTGCATTGGTGTCAGAAGTGGGACTGGGACTTACACATGTGATCAACAAGATTCGAACTTAAGAACACGTCACATTTGGTGTCAAAAGTGGGATACGAACTTGAACACACCTCAACGAATTATACTGCTACAAAATGGAGAAACAAGATATGGAAAAATTATTCCTAATGCTGGCAAGATGGGAGGCGATGGCAGAGGCCAATCGAAAGAAAGACAAAGAAGATTTAATGGCCAAATTAGACGCCTGGGGAGAAATGTTGGATGCAGAGACAAAAGCTACCCAAGCAAGAATGAGAGCCATCGAAGCAAGGACAGCCGCCATGAGAGAGAAGAGGTTGCAAGCCAATATGGATGCCTGGCAGAAAGAGATGACGGCCTGCCGAGAAATGACAGAGGTGCATCTAGAAAAGGAATTAAAGATGATAGCCTACCAAGAGATGGAGGTACGTCTAGAAGAGGTCCCAATCGTGATAATGGTTGGAGTGACGACGGCCTGCCAAGAGATGGAGGCACACCCAGAAGATGAAGAGCCGGCCTCAGTGGACATGAAACCTGAGGCGACCGACCTACGAGAGGTACCCGTACAAGACGCCAAAGTAATGCTGGTCAGAGAACCGAAGAAGAAACAGTGTAGGGACCGAAACAAGAGAAATATGAAGAATCCGACATGGGAAAATTGTGAACCCCAGAATAAATTGGCCGTCGTCCGCAGGAAGGAGTCCCGCCGTGCAACAGTGGCATGGCTCAGGAGGAACATCTTCAGGAAATGTCGGACCCGAGGAGATTATGAATCCCGAATGAATTTGGCTGCCATCTGCAGGAAGACATCCCGTCGCGCGACAGTGGCACGATGTCGGAGAAATGCCTTCAAGAAGGAAACTCCCCAGGGAAACTTTGGATTCCGGAGAAAGGACTTGGCGCCACGGTCTCGTGCCAGCAAGTGGCGGGAAGACCAGGAGGAACGACGACGTTGGCAAGTGCGGACCACATCGGAAGTGCTGTTACGCCGACATAAAGAATTTCTCAGAGAAGACATACACAAGGATTGGACATTGTGGTGGGGTCGACCCCCTCCGAAATGGAAAAAAATGGAATAGTACACAGGAGGAACCGGTAACGCAGAAGTAACGGCCTACCGAGGAAGAGTTCATGTGCGATGAATGCAATTTTTTATGAACTAAATACATAAGTGCCAATTACAGTGGCTGCACAGTCTAAGGCATGGATTGTCTTTGCTCGCTTGAACACTGGGATCATGGGTTCGAATCCCACTTAAGGCATGGATGTCTGTGTGTGTGTGTGTGTTGTCCTGTGAGTAGGTAGCGGTCTTGTGATGGGCTGATCACTCATAAAAGGAGTCCTATCATCTGTCCAAAAAAGATTATGAAACTGAAGAAGAGGCCAGGGTCAAACAAAGGGCTGTACAGCCACTGATGAATGAATGAAAGTACACAAGAAAGAAGATAGTTACTTTGAATATAAAGATCATTAAATTAGATATTTTCTCTTTTAAGTCTGAAATGTGACTGATGAGAAAAAGGCTTTGTGTATTTTAAATAGAATCAGTACATAAACTCCCACTAAATGTTCCTCAGTTCAAAGCTTTCCCTTATTTAATGTTCATTGTCAATGATTTCTAGTCAACAATCTGGATTAAATTACTTCCATTTAAGATTTTCCTCAGTTCCGCAATCAAATGAACTGCTCCCTAAAGAAACCTTAAATGGAGGTTTACAGTTTTTTAACAGTTTTCAGCAATCCATCTGATGGAAATTCTGCATTTAAACATACAAAATTTGAAAAGTGATGTACAAGATAATATACTGTAACGTGCTATATGTTGTCCATTGCTGAGCAATGAAACAATGGAAATTGTTGAGACCATGGTGTAGGAATATTCATAGCAATGAGTGTTCATTGCATAACAATGCTCGGTAAACACCCCTTCCCGCTAGGCTGTGACGTCACGCAACAGAGGAGTCCATGCAGTGACTGTTGCTAGGCAATCGGTAAACACGATTACTGTGTGTTCAGTGCGGAAGCTACATAATGAGAGTACTTGTCAGTGTTGAGGCAGTTACGAGTATGGAGCAGTTGAGAGCAGTGGAAGCAAGCGAAGTGGATCGAGGAATACAGAAGATTGCCTGTGAGGATGTCAACGGTGATTTAGAAGACTTCATGTGTGCAACGGTGAGTGCAGCAGTGGATTATGAGGTGTATGTAAATCAGCAATAGCGCTGTGATTTGAGTGTAACTGAGTGAGTGCGTGTAACCAAGCTGTGAATAAATCCAATCATCCAAACTAGAACCCGCCATTTCGTCACCCGTAACCCCCCACATGTGCCAATACTATGTATCAAAATTCTGATAGGTAATATACTCCAAATACAATTAAATACATGCAATGGAATTTCCATGCAATCATGTTGAGTATATTAAGAGACATATCTAGTTTGCTACCATATTATTTTAATAAATCAGTTTTGGAATATAAGCATAAGAAAATCAGATGGAAGAAATCTGCTGAGAGGACAATTTAGAAATGATGCCTGTTCATCTCATAACACTGCACATAGGTACACACTGATAACAGTAATGTTCCTATCACATCACAGCCTTATTTTAACCTTTATCACCTGTGCGTCCCATAACATTGTCAGGGCATGTGTCAGTCGAACAGGCCTTAACAGGCCTATTGTATTATTTACAATACAAGTTTCATTATTGCCAAGTTAAAATCTGATCACGAGGCCACAGCATAAGGAAATTTACGTTCCTTATTCAAGGATGATAAAGGTTAAGTAAGAAGGACTGTTTTGAAAAATCTTTATTTCTTCATTCATTTCAGTGTCCTCTTGCCTTAAAGCCTACATATGATTTGTTTAATAATCAGAATTACAAAAACCCAACTAATACATGAAGAGATTTATAGATGGTTCTTACCATCCACTAACAGCCTTCCCACTGCCTTGGGGATTAGTGCGAAGGTTAACATCTACAACCCATACTGAATGTTCCCTCCATGTCATAACCCGTGCCTCCTGAGGTGACAAACGGCGATCAAACAATCGTACTGAGCCATCTCCACATCCTGCGACCATCAGATGGGATTCTGAAAAACATGATGACACTAGCAGATCCATACACTCTGTTTCTAAATACTTCTTGCTGCACATTGTTTTTTCTTGTGAGCCATTTTCAGCAAAACTACCTAAATAATTAATTCCGTGTAGTAAAGTCTTTCTTGAGAGGCTAAAAGTCACTTGCCATGTCACCTCTTATGGAAAGCAAAGATTCATTACAATGTTCACTAGAGCAACACGTATCAACATGACCAATATCTGAGCATCAAGTTTCCAACCATTTTAAATTAATACAAAACTGATAATTACAGAGTACAAATGATACAGGAAGTCAAAAACTCTCTAGACAGACATCTTTTCAGACACTCCCCTACAATTTAGCACAGTAATGGTCATAAACATGGTCGTAAATATATATTTTTATTTTTTTAATGTTAACATTTAATAAACATGCACACATAAAGATACAGACTATTCATACAGTGGGATTCCTACATACTCATAATTATACAGTACCACATAAATCAGGAGGCTGATATTATTGAGGGGGTGAGAAACATGGACAGTGTGCCTGGAGATGGAATGAGGGATTATTGTTATTAGAGTTGCATTAATTTAAATGTGCATTTTTAAGAAAGGCAGCCACTTATTATGGATTCCCTTATTCAGGGTCAATTTTAGATTTTTCTTAGTTTTTTGGCTATAATCCAGTACCCTGTACATACTTAAATGGGAAATTTTACATAGTGATAAACAAATGATGAGTAATCATCAAAGAATAAAATCCAAATCCAAATATTCAGAAGAATTCTTTGACATGTGACTGTACCTGAAATATCAGTGGAAATGCTTGTGACACAGCAGTCAGCACCAGTTGGAATGTCCTGCACTTTGAGTTCACTCTCTGCATCCCATATCCTGATTATTCTCACATCACCTGTCACTACAACATTCTGTGTTCGCTGCTCCCATAACACAACTGCACCAGCACCAGCTAAATTAACATGTCATACCGAAGTATTATGCAAATGCCCAAAACTGTCATTCAAGTGATAAACATTTAACACACATGTGCCTGATATATGAAATAAATTCAATACAGGTACAGGTTAAGTGTAACATCATTATTAACAGCATAAAATTAGTAACAGGAGACAGATTCAAAACCCAAAGTCTCAATACAAGGCAAGATCTGAAACTAGAAACACCACAAAACATTTTGGTGAAATTTAAATTACAGTTGTATGAGCAGAGGTAGCACAAGTCTTAACAGAGAGTACAAAGAAATTAGGTCATGTATATGAAAATTGGAGAGATCAAGGGTAAGGTGGAAAGATCTAGTGGAAGATGATACACAAAAGGGAGCAGGGAGTATGCACAGATAAACAAGAGAAATGTTCAAGAAAGAGAAGAAGGGAATGAAACAGGTTTTACCATAAAACACCCACCTTAGGGGATGATATCTGACTAATTCTTCATCATATCTTCAAGCAATGTTGTCAAATAACCACAGCAACAGACCTTCATTACATGCATTTGAAAAATATGTCTCAAAGACAACGAAGTTTCAGTGAATTTAATGTGCAGATCAGGACAGTTATCACAATCTTAACCTTTACTTAGTCATGCAAAGTTACAGGAGGAGTTATCTGTTGAACAATTTCACAGGTACCTCTGTATGCCTTTCTTACAAAACCATCTACAAAATATTTAGATGTTCCTGAATAAAACATTTTGGCCAAACATGTCAAATTAGCTTTTTACAGAATAAAATTTCAAAACACATAACATCCACAGAGAATATAAAACATTACATTCTTTAACATTAAACTTAATGTAATTCCTATGATTCATGACAGTTAAAATTACCATTGAGGGAGCGTGAGACAGGCTGAACATCAGCCAGGGCTTGCCATGCTGTTACCAAACCTGGTTCACACCCTTGCTGTGTCAGTGTAAAGTTGTTCCATAGACGCACTGTTCCATCATCTGAACCCACCAGGAGAAGTGTAACATCATGGCTATTCACAAACTGCAGTGATGTAATGCGGGAGACTTTTGAGCCACGATTTGCACAGGAACTAAGTTTACTTCCAGACAGCCAATCCCAGGTACTAGAAACATGGAACAGAAGAACTCTACGAATATGTGGTAAGGTAAGGCATTACAGAATTCACAAACCATAAATACTTAAATATACACACAAAAAAAAAAAGAGGTCTGCAGTTAAAATCCTTAAATGAAGTTCTACAGACACATCCTATTGATTATTAAGATTGAATATTAGATTATGTTTTGAAATTTTTAATGTTACAAAAATACAAATTTACTTTCTGTAAGAATATGAAATGGGCCATATCTCCCCCATTTTCTTCTCTATATTTGACATGAGTAACTGCTTACTTCTTGAATTACCTGAAAGCATCTTTACCAGCAACAGCAACATATGTTTCATATGGATGAAACTGGATGACTGATGGAGGATTGGGGCACCGGGTATTAAAAACTTGAGACTCCAGTCTTCCTGTAGCTATTCTCCGCTGTTCATCTCTTGCTTCACAGCGAAGTGCACTGTTGCGCTGATACCTTAAATGAATCACTTAATTCAGGACCTCCAAAATTGAAATGCTGAGGGGTTACATTGTAGTTTTAGTACCCACCCATTATACCAATACAAAGCCTGCCTTGCAGTCATCAGATCTATGAAGCATGAGTAAGAAAATAACAACTGGACCCATTACAAAGGTGAAGCTATCCCTGTAACATTTAACTAAAATCGATGCTGCCAGTTGATGGTGGTGCTTCAATATCATCTACCAAAGGGCTGCTACACTGTGTCAACATTATATTATCATGAAGTTATAATACAGTAAAACTTCGATTTTATATTCTCAGATTTTATGTTTCTCATGTATTTATGCACTTACTGCATGGTCCTGGCCAAATGGCTATAAAGATAATGTTAAACAGATTTTACATTTCTGCAACTATACATTTTCCCTGAATACACACTCCATTTTTCTGGTCCTGACTATGAAAATTTACCCAATTTCATGTTCTGTAGTTCTATTCTCACAATTTCTCATCCCATATAATGGATCTCTTTCCCTGTTATCAGTCACAAATAGTTCAGTCTGAAAATATATACCAAGTGGCTGATGCATGGTTGCAGGTGATTCATGTGCGCACTATGTGACTTCATATTATGGCATAGTGGATTTTTCCCCCACCACTTTCCAAACAGCTAGTGCACACTAGGCCAGCTTTGAATTTCATAAGTCTTATATTACAACACTAACTCAGCAAGTGTATTTTATCTCTCCCATGTCTGAGAAGTGTACCAAAGAATGACCACTGCAGTACAGAAACCACTGTTTTTTCATAAGTGAAACATTTAACAGAAATGCACCCAGGTTAAATTATTCAATTTTCCTGTGCCAATGTGACTTCACTTCGTAAAAACCAAACTGTATTATAGACCAAGATGAATTTCAGGGCAAGAGGATGAAATATGTATAATAAAGGAAAACCTAAATCACTTACAGTGGTTGATAAAATAAATATTTTAGCAAAAGTTGATGCAAATATTGGAACACATGTGACGTTCAGTAGGATTTCTACTGTGAAGAAATGTAATGAAAATTAAAGAAGTTTTGTCCAGTATGAACCTTTATCCCAGCAGTAGAAGTCACTGAAGTGTTCGCCACTGGAGGATCTGGAATCTGCACTTCCTGAACAGTTCAAGCAAGTGTGTGAGAGTAATGCTTCCACAGATGATACCCACTGTGAGGAGAAATGTTAACACATCTCACTCATCTGGAAATAGAAAACTTTTTGGCTTCCAATGGTTGGATCAGCAGATTTAAGAGAAGACACAACATTGCTTACAAATATCTACTGGGGAGAGTGTGAGTGTTGGTTCAGAAACTGTAGCAGACTGGAATAATTACCAACTATTGCAAGACATCTGTGACAGAAATGATGCTGATGATAAGGCTACAACCTAGCAAATCACTCACTTTTCAAGGACACTTCTGCCATGGTGGTACAAGTTCTAAACAGCAGCTTACTGTGCTCATGACATGCAATGAAGATGGTAGTGATAAATTATCACTCCAGTAAATGGAAATTACAGAAGTCCATGTTGCTTCAAGAATGTCAAGAGACATGCTTCGACCTGCTTTTGTTCATGGCAGACCAAGAGAATCCTCGGAAAAGCAAACACAATTTGGATGAAGAAGCCGAAGATGTTGATGGTGATGATGATTCACAAGAAACAACAGCTTTGACAACAACAGACATCTAACATTCTGAAGTAGTTTTTGTAGCCTTCAGGTCTATCATTTTTAATAAAGTTCAATAAATTCAAATGTGTAAATCTGTCTCTACTTAACAACCAGTTCTTAGCCCATATTTCCCTCCTTTTGCTATTCTTTTTTCTTTTGAACACACTGGATTCATCTAGCATTATCACTGCTGCTGCAACCTGCTTTGATGAACTCATTCTGGATACTGAAATGAACGAGCAAAGTTGGGAGTCAGCTCATGCACGTGTGGTGAAATTAATCCGAGCCCAGTTCTGAAGTCAAGCTCACCAAGCAGGACTTGCAAGCCAGACTCATATGTGTATGGGCCCCCTTACATAGTTAGTGTTCGAACATGTGATTTTCCCAAGCTATGGTATAAAAATAGTCCAGTTTTCTACATGTTGTATCATTCATCATTTCCCTGATTTTACACTTTCCTTTACCTTAAATTTGTTTGGCGGTCCCTCAAAAAGTGTAAAATTGAGGTTACACTATAGTTCTATACTTTTCTGGGTTATTTATTACATTTAATCTTAAATAAATTGGAAACTTATATATAAAATATTTAGTAAGCACATTTTGCAAAGATTTGTGCTGCTCTTTTTACAAAAGAGGAAAGCATTTAATACATATTCAGGAAAATGGGTGTTTTTGTAGGCTCCACAAAACCAACTTGGATATGTATACAATGCTTTGTTCTAAAGGACGACTTCCAAAAGGATGAGGGATATGATTCTCAAGCCTTCGACTGCGTAGTCCAATCAAAATTGCCAAGGTGGAGGTAAATGCAATCGCACAGAAAAACGCACAATTCTTCCTCAGATTCGGCACAAATGACCACAGGAATAGACACCTTGATTGCCTGTTCTTTCTTCTAAACATTGGTACATCACATATGATGCCATCTACTGACAGAAATGCTGTATTATGTGATTAACATCAAGGTGAACTGTTCAGCTAACTACACTGAACAGATCTAAGTGGGCAATGGCATGTAAAGAGTTAAATGATTTGCAGATTTTACCTTTGAACTTAACTACACATAGCAAAGTGCTTTCACCTTTCTCTTCAAGCAAACTCAGCGTATACAGAGAGTTATTTATCTTAATTTTTGCCAGATTTTGAGCATAATAATGATAAGGTATCCAAACAAATATACAAACTCTAACTTCAGGCTGATCATCAAACTACTCATAACAAAGTAGTATTTTTTAACACACTGAGCATCAGAACCAAATATTCACGTGACTAAATACCTCCATTCCCGTTCATAATGTATACTGCTTTCGACATCATTGTCTTCAAGGAATTTCATCACAGGCTGAGCAAAGTATTTACAGCTCCAGTCAACAAACTGAGTTGTCACTAGAGGTTTGCGGTTGCTATTGGTGTCATTCTCTTCTTCAGAGATCTGAAACAATCAGTTCCTAATATTGTGCTATTTGAGAATCTCATGGCAATGACTATGAAGAGTACCATCATTCTGTATATGATGCTATGCAGTGTGGTAGACATTTAAGCTTGCTGCTTGTTGCTGGCTCATTCTTCATCTACCAGACTACTTTGTCATATCCTACAAGACAGCATTCTTCAATCCCTAACACTGGTCAGAATATAATTTGGAAAGAGAAATAATTCATGAAGTGCAGTTCTCTGATATTTTACATTAGTGCAATTTCATAGGAGTACAAAGCTTACCCCAGAAGTTTCATAATGATATGGATGAATCCAGTTTTCTGTCTGTATCACTCACAAGAGTGGTAACAATCCAAATGCTAGTTTATTCTAAAGGGTTCTGATGATGATGTGTAACTTTCAGGATTACTGGGATTTTGGACTTCATCCATTGTCTGGTATTCTAAAGAAAACAGAATAACACAACATTTTCTAAACTGGACCTGTTTCCTTCTTTCGGTGAGAGGTGGAAGACACCTACCCTGCTGGGTCTGTTAACCCTTCCGCAACGGATAGTATTTAAATCTTTTCCTACCGCCAAACCGACGGGGTATTTAATTATTAAACAGAAAAGTTCTCTTATCCATGAAAAACTTAGTAACTCTCGCAAAAATAGGTATATTGAGATAAAATTTTCACAGAAATATTCATAATGAAACGAAGAACAAAACTATATATATATTTTTTAATATAATTATGATAAATAATATTTTTTTACTCACTCGAACTGCTAAAAGTCGAGTTTGGTGTGGTAATCCTGAAAACACTTGTCAATACATAGCCCAACATCACAATCACTGCACCAGTACACGGTTTCTTTTCTTCTTTTGTTTTTTGTACACACTACACATCGCCTTTGTGGTCTAGCCTTTTTTCCTGATGGGGGAATTTTACTAATAAAATGTCTTTCACGAAGCCGGGGGATGGTGTTATCTAAATGGAAAAACCCTCCCACATATAAATTTGTTGCGCATAAGTGTTTGTTTCCTGAACGATATTGTTTACAAAATCCTCAGTAAAAAATAATAGAAATGTCTGTACTATGTCGAGCACATTCACAGACTGATTTCTCGGCCCCGAATTTTCAGAAAACCGTTCGCGAACGCCATCATAATTATCCATATTTTGCCAAAAATAACTCTCGTCTGAATCCGCCACTGGAACCCTCGCCACTATTTCGTCGTCATCTTCAATACTATGATCTTGGATAGCATCAACTACAGCCTGATCTTCAATTTCATTATCACTGTTTTCACTACTATCCGAATATTCGAACTCACTAACTTCCGAGTCGTGAGCAAGGAGCTCATCTAGTTCATCGTCCTGTAAAACTTTCCTACTTGTAGAGGCCATGGTTATGGCGCGACTGAGAGAAGAAAGTGTTATGACATCATAGATTTCTGTATCATTCGTAAGTTTGTTTTCTTAGGTTGCATTTGGTTCCAAGAAAAAAGGACCCTCTTGTTTGACTACTTCATTGTGTCAGCAGACTGTACAGCAACCCACTCAAGGAAAACCTTCGTCTGGGGTTTCAGTGAGTGACTCATATAGACAAGCAAAGACCATAGAGTCGAAAGATATATAGTTTTATACATTTTCCTTACTTAGAATTTGAAAAATTTCAATGCAATCTAGGCGCAATGAGACCAAAGTACGAACTATTACACTAACGATATAAAATAAAAATACCATGCTAAAAATTAGTACAATATAAATAACTCATATACCAATTGAAAGAAGAAACCTTAATCTATGAACTCCTGAAAAGAAAATTGGAATGTCTTTCCTCGTTTTGTCAGCAACGTCCTTCAAAGCTAACACTGCGCAGGTCGGTACACTGCACCGATGTCGGTGGCATACGATTATTTAAAGGGTCGGTGCAGCACACAGATGTCGGTGCGGAAGGGTTAAAAAAGATTTAACCTCAATCACTGGACAATCTATGTCAGTATAACTACAGCTATATAAACACCTCAGATAAGATAGGTGCAGTGGTTAAGGTTAGCTCTTTCTAAGGGACACAACAGAGTATGTGTCTCCCACTCACCTGAGGATGGAAACATATCCAGTTTCCGAAATGATGCATTCTCTAGTTTTTCAAATACCAGATGATGGACAGAGTCCAAAAACCCAGTAATACAATGTTACATAACTATGTCAAAACCCTTTAGAATCTACCTCAGATCAGGCTTTGTCAATGGGAGACAACAAGAAAAATGTACTGCAGTGTGTATAGGCGTTGCTATTCAACAACTGTGAGATGGCTGGATATACTAGGGCCATATCTGGGCAGCAGCTTGGCACATATATTCCCATTGCTAGGCAGGAGATTCTTAACAATGCAGCAGTTGGATGCAACAACAGAGGAGCTGTATTTTCTATATGGTCCATGCCAAGATGTTATAAGCAAGGGACAAAGTCAATAGAATTCAGCTCAGTTCTGCATGGGAGGCTGTGAAGAGAGGATCTGAGCCAGAGACAGAGGAATAGCCATTACCAGTCTACATCTAGTAACAGAATGAGAACACTGGATTGTCTTCTAGTGTGGAAATCAGTGACAGTGTTATAGTTATTTGCAGTTATGACCTGAAAGTGGTCAATAAATCTAATTATCCAAAACCCCGTCTATAGTCGCATACTATATGACAACTGATGTCAGAGGTTGGATTGGATTGAGAGCATTGCTGGATTTTAATCTACGTAACAGACAATCATGGCCAATTCGACAACACTGTTTACAACCATAGCAAATATCCAAGTTTATTTGTGATGACTTGTACGCCTTCATTGACTGGTACATCAGTGAAAAGACTAACAACATCAAAGTTAACAAGGGTAGCTAGACTTGAAGGTTCACATATTTTAACAACCATACAATGTGGCCAGAATTCTTTATGAAGGTTTCCAAATTCCTGGCAGGACTCAGTACCTTATAAAGACAATCAGTTATTCCCTTGTATCACTATTTTTGTAAGCAAGCAAGCTCGCTTTGATTTTCATTTTATTGCACAATGAGATTCTCATTATTTGCATCTTCCGCACGCATACAAGTTTTATGCCACATAACCCTAGAAGATGCAGATGACAATCTTTTGTCAGATAAGAAAATGCAATGAGTCCAACATATATGTTACATCAATTGAATAACCTACTGTGCATTCTAAGAAAGCAGTTGCTGAACCATTCCACTTACAGACGAAATTAAAATATTCAGAGTTCCAAAAGTTCAGCTGTCCTTTATCCATTCATTCAACTATTTATATGCTGAGAAAGAATGGCAGATGACAACTGTGCCACTAAATGTGAAGTTAAAATTGTTCTTGTACTTGAGCACCACACCATGAATGTAGTGATCATGTGCAAGTAATACCCCATTTTTTTTAACTCTGGAATTAGACAAATGTGAATGATCAGCTTCATGCCCTGGTCACTATATAACCATGGAAAGAGTCCATGGTATCCACCAGATAGGAAGCTGGGTAGACTGTACAGCTTTGAAAATTGCAACTGTGAATTATTCAACTATTCCCATTAAAGGAATTTATTCTATCCCTTCCAGTTCTAGGGTTCAAGTTTCTGGATTGTGGATTTGCAATCTGGTATTTCATTAAAACTAAAATAACCATGAAGAACTCTCTGAAAATGAATTCAGACTAACTTAAACAATTCTAACTTACAGTATTGGGCATAATTTTGCGAGTACGAGTTGTCAGATGTGATGATCGGGATGCTGTAAGGCGATGGAGTTCTGATGCTGAATTTGTAGTTGGCGGAGATTCACCTCTGGAAAGAATCAATTTAAAAATAAAATAACTGTATACTTATTATATAAATAAAGGACACAAAATATCACCTACTCCCACTTGTTACATAATGTAAGGTTAAATTATGATCCATGTCCAAATACCTACTTGTCCTAGGGAAGAGTTTTGTCTTGTCTGCAAATTAATTACTGACTCTGTATGAACATTAGTTTATCAGTCACTGCACCCTTATGAATTGTAGTGATGTCTGACTTTGTATAAACTACACTTTTTAATTGTGATTTTCTGTGAAGTTCAACCTTGCCAAATATGATGTTTTCTGTCGAATTGCCTCCCTGGCCTGTATCTTCAGATTCACACATTTTTCTATCCCAGTACTTTTGGAGATGAAATCTTTCATTTAGATAATCTTTCAAACATAAGGATGGACTGTTTAAAATATGCACTAATAAAATGAGTTTTATCTTCTGGGTGCAGTTCAGTTAAAGTCAGTCAATGTTCTGAAGGGAAATACTGCGCCTATCTTCAGGGTCAAAGAGTAGGACAAGCAAGAAACCAGTATGAAGCAGGCAACAGGCAGAGCAAACCATGTGCAGAAAAGACAGGACCAATATACGCTATGAAGGAAGTTGCAAGCCAACAAGCCTGCTCCCACTTGCTCGCCTGAGAAACAGAACAAACCAACAAAAGAAACTACACCAGGCCATGAAAGGTAAGATAAAGTTGTCCCTGTGGTTAACCAATTAAGCACTACACCATGAAGGTGTATGGGATAGTGGATCTATACATCCAGGCGATGAAAAGAACTGCTTTTGTGACTTCCAGACATGGGAACATGACAGAGAAGTTGTAAATGTGTTTGGTAGGCAGACAGAAGTCATGTATGCAGCTGTAGACACATACCAGCTAATATGAAGAGCATAACACAGTGGATGGGAAGCCAAGAAAGGAAGGAAAGACTCGGGGCTGATGGCTGCCTAGGCTAAATGGCCTGGTGGAGAACCAATCTCAAGAATCCTGTGAGGAATGCTTCTATGATCTTTCTGGGGGTAGATAAGGAGTTTTCATGACTTGCTTATACCCAAGCCATACTCCTTGTTCACATTATTAGGATGGAGTTCAGTCTCTATTGTCACCTGGATGATACAGTACGTATATCTGGGTTCAGTGGAGAGGACACTGGTGTTATGGAGCTGGATGTGGTGTCCCAAGTTGATGCTGTATTCCTCCATGGATCACTCATTCAGATAATCTAGCTGTATATGCTGATGGTGCATCCTCACTCTGGTGTTGATTGAATAACCTGTCTGTCCAATTTAGACCCAACCATACTTATAGGGGATACTGTGCACTTCCACTGTCTTGTCTCAGGTTATCCTTCACTGGATGGAAGCTAGAGATTTTCTTTGGCAGAGGACAACTGGTGTGGTGTGCCATGACAGCACCCTGCTAATGTAGCTGGAAGTCAACCTAAAATAAGGTAAGAAAGCAAGAGAGTCTGGATTGTCACTAGGTGGAGCAACCCTCACACTTGCATTATGAGCTCTGAGGATCTGTCAGTTGCTGTAGCCATTCTGCATGAATGTCATCTTCAGAAACTCCAGTTTGCTATACAGGCTGTTCTGGTTGCAAAGTGCTTTAACTCTGTATCTCAAAGTTGAAAGTATAGCATGGTTGCTGGAAGGGTGAAGGTCAGTACCCATGTTAAGCTAGTGGTTAGTGTGAGGTTTATGGTTACACCTTATGGCCAAGAAAGCTGTCACATCTCCTGTAAATATGCATGTCCAGGAAGGGAAGGTGGTCACCTCTTTCCATCTCCATGGTGAAATGAATGTCCTGGTGGTCAAGGAATTCCTTCAGCTTATGTGGCCCATGGGACTGGAGATGATGAAAGTTTTATCCATGTAATGTAACCAACAGAGGAGCCTGTGAATGGCCCAGCTGAGCACCACCTCCTCAAGAATCCTCCATGAAGAAGTTCGCAATCACAGGAGGCAATGGCAAACCCATAACCAAGCTATCAGTCTGTTCATAGAACTTCCCACTGAAGATGAAGTAGGTGGTGGTCCTTTCCTTTCCACACATGGATTGCTTTGCTTGCTGCCTACTTCATGCTGATTTCTTGCTTGGCTTACTCTTAAATCCTTAAGGCAGGTGATATATTCCTCCAAAATGTCAGCTGAGTGTCACTAGACTATATGACATTACATCTCAAAAAACAGATCTCTTTACAGTTACCACTGTGAGAACCAAAAATCCTACAGTAATTTAGTTTCATGTCATTTTTAATGGTTAATATGTTACAAATTACAGCAAGAGACAAACATTCTGAAAAATTTCATCAACTTACGCTAAGAATGTTGGTCGACCAGATGGAGAAGGAGGTAAAGATAAAGATGATGACATTTTAGTGTCATTTACTTCCTTCGGAATTGATGAATCTTTCACCTGAAAAACACAAACAGCTCTCTATAATTCTTCATCACTGGCACAATGAAATATTTCCAGTAGAGAAGAATCTAGTAAATATAATTTTAACCTTGTCATTACCTTCTGTTTTTAAGTCTAAATTAACATTACAAAAAAAAAAAAAATAGAAACAGATCTTAAACAAAGCATTCGTCATGTGACCAATTACAATGCTGAAATCTAAATGTAAAAGAGATAAAAGTTATGTTCATTTCTATAGCCAAAAGAGTAGACAGAACTGCAACATGAGAACTGAATAATCCTTTGAAAGTGTAAAATAATTCTGGAAATGATCAGTTATTTACTGATGGTTTCTAAATTGCACAGTCATATACAATCAGATGGGAAGAATACTGCAGGATCAAATGAGAAGAATAAGATATTCCCATATCTATTTTAAGATATTATCTTGATATTATCCTACAGAGATGAACAAAAATCACAAATAAAACAACCTCCATGATAAAAACTGAAACTGGGACTACTGAACACAAGGCAGGAATACTAACAACTCAACAGCAACATTTAATGCACAGCTGGGAACAGTAAGAACAAATAAAAGTGATATCAGTAATAAAATTAAGACAAGAAATTACCTTGTAAAACCAATAACTCACACCTATCTGCTAACAGCATGGGGACATTCTTCCAGAAAAACGAAATTAAAGTAATTGGAAAGTCTGATGCTAAGTTTGAACGTATGTTTAAGGATGTGTTCAACTGAGTTAAAAACACCTGGTTATTTTAATACCCTTACCTAAAATCTACAGCTATGTGTAGAAAACAGGTATGTAAAGTAAATCCAGCCTACAAGGCTACATCAAACCTTGTGTATGCAACTTTATGGCAGAAAAGTCCTGTCAGTATGTCTCAATTTCCTACTAACATGTGAATACTGGAAGTATGTTCAAAACAAAATATAGTAACTTTCTACTGATGACTTAACTGTCTACATCACTACTGGATGATGACATGCTCTCATTCTCACATCATTTTGAGTACAGTGATTCAATTTCTGCACAACCGAAAACAATTTTGTTTACAATTCAAAAAGATATATAATTACATTATATTATTAAACTAATTTCATAGTCTAAATTCATAGTCACCGCCGTGAAAGCCTCAAATCTTACATAATTTTGGAAGTGTGAACAATATGATTATTCAAAGTCTGAAGCAGTCCTGGTTATAAGACTGGTGCCTAAACTGAATGTAAATTTGTGTTCATAATATGGTGATGTCAAACCAAATAAATTTTTCTCAGCTTGCATTTACTCCTATTTCATTATACCTGTAAATTCCTCTACAGCTCCAGAATACCCACATTCAATCACGATATGATCCAACAATTGCTGCTTCTCATCATTCAAATCACATCATCAGATGAGATGCTACAAACTTAGTTGAGGCATGTGAGGTTTCTTATTAAACCTTCTCAGGTTTAACAAGAAACCTATCCTATAGAAAGAAGGACTTAAAATATAGCTGAGAGGAGAGATAAGTGGATGGACAGATAAACAGTTCTGAACATACAGATTTTCATATAGAGCCTCACCTGGTCTCGGATGTAGTTGGTAACTGTGTAAGACATGTGACGAACACTTGGGTGTGGATCCAAATCTAATGTAATTAAACCATGCCACAGCTTCATGTAGATGCTGCCATAGGAAAGATTTGGTAAGCTACTGAGCTGTCCATGCCCTAAGGAACAAATTTTTTCATTGAAACAATAACTGCATTTATATACACCATTAGCTATGTTTATTGTTTATTTTATTTAACAATGATTTTTCAGTAGCACATGTTATACATCAGTAAAGCTGTGTTTGTACTTTTGAGAACATACATAGACTTTGACAAGTCTATCGTATGAGGATCAATTTTAAAACCCCAAAACTTTGCACAGGCAGCAGGCAAATTGACAAAAATAACATCAGAGACCACAACGAAAACACTGTGTCCAACCGTTCTTCCACTGTCACATGTTTACAGCACTGTTCCCTACCAATGGCTGCATCTACACATTGCATGATTCTGGCTTTACAGCTGTTATGTAACATTGCTCCTTCCTTAAGGCTACTCATCCCGAGTAGGCATATTGTCATTTCACCTTCTCCAAGGGGACATGATGACTGTGATCACCCTTGCAAATGGCACTTCAATGCCATGCTGGGGGTTGACACTTCTTCTAGTTTGTGAGGATAACAATTTATAAAGTGGCCAGTGCTCCAACAGCTCCAGCATGTAAGCTGCTGGCAGCCTCTTCTTCCATTTGAGGGATGGGGGCTTTGTCATTATGTCCTGTTACTTGTTTTCCAGAGCCTGACATGATACCTGACTGCTAGCTTTAAGACTTTCAGCTTGATGGTCTGCCTGAGGACCTCACTGACAGATCTCTTGCTTCCTAGAAGTAGCTTCCATTTTGGGCTTCATTCACTTATGCCATAAATGAATGCCTTCCCTGTTCCCCTGTGAATGCTGTCTTTGTGTAGGGGAGAATAGGCATGGTGTGTCAACTGTTTGAGGTGGTTGAAAACTCTTGCAGGGGCTCACCAGTGAGTTGGGTCATAGTTTTTAGTTAAATGTGATACATTGTGGCCAGGTGCTGATCTCTACATCAGTTCTCACCAGTGAACTGGGTCCTTGTTTTTAGCTAAATGCGATATATTGTGGCTGGGTGCTGATCCCTACATCAGTCCTCACATGCCTCCATAGTCTCTTCACAGGTCGCTCCTTTAGGGACTCCATACAGAAGAATGGAAGTCTGGCCCTCCAAGGTGGTAAGGTGTGTGGCTTCTGCATGTGGTGCCCTGCTATGGCATATCTCTTTTCTTGGTTGGTCTCCAACTTTCCCTGATTAGCTTCCATCCTTTCTGGATAGCCTCCATTTGGCCTTTAACTTTTCCCTGACTGACCCCATATCAAATAGACAGGCATCTGTCACTTATAGACAGGTCTTCATTGCTTCTCAGCAGGCCTCCATCTTTTCTGGACAGGCCTTTGTTGCTTCTCAGCAGGACTTTATCTCCTCTTCACTGGCAACTGTCTTGGCCTCTAGCTTTCCTACAATGGCTTCCAGATGCCTGAATGCTGCCATGATTATCTGTCATGTGGGTTCCAGTCTACCAATGCACAATTCACGAAGACCAATAACTCAATCCAATCCAATTCTATACCACTTCTGATACCAGTTGTCATGTGTTAGGGACTAGACATGGGGTTTGGATTGAAAATTGGAGTTAGTGAATATTTATTATAACTCGTAACTACAAGTAATTATAACAGTCTCACTGCTTTACACATTCTAAATCACTACAGCACACATTAAGTCTCAGTCTGTCATAGGCTTCACTGGTTGCAGCTAGGTGGCGGTTCCCCACAGTGGATATTCCCCTGCTTCCATGGTCACATCCTTACTGGTTGGCAACTGACTCACAACTCATATCGACTCTGCTGGTGTCCTTGATATGTAACATTGGCATGGCCTGCATAGAACACACAGTGTCCAATAGTTCTTTCATTGTTGCATGTTTACCTGCTGCTGCAGATACGACTACGATATTGTTCCCTAGCAATGGGCACATCTACACATTCCACTATTCCAGCTTTCAGCTGTCAGGTCACAATATTAAAGTAAAAATTATGTGTTTTCCTGCAATGGAAAATATTAATATAACTTTTTAGAATTTACAGTTTTATTGTGAAGAATGGAAGAATCTGAATGTGAAGCTTGCCAATGTATCTTCGCACCATATTCTGAAAATCTGAAGTATGTAAGTAGTAGCAACTCAAAGGAAGCTTTCCAATCTTTCATGATATAATCAATGTATTTCTGATCATTTTGATTTTTGAAAAGGCTGTCCACAAATACAGGTGTTTTTGAAAAGATGTCATTGAACATGCACTGTAAGCTTAACAGCATGTAGAGTTTATAGAGATCAAGGAGTCAAATGTGTAAAGATGTACATATTTCTGAGGTTTGTAACACATGGCAAATCTATTAAGTTATTATTTTTTTTAAAATGACAATACCGACAAACTTGTTAAGATTCCATATTCTGTCAGCCTTTTTTTTTTTAGCTTAATCATGATGTTTGGCCAATTATAAGTTAACTGATTCTGATATATTTGGGAAAAGGGATATGCCAGTTCAGTCCAAGATCCTGAAAGAGGTAGGTGGATGTTTAAAAGTATGGGAAACAATGCTTTAGACAAATGAAATCTCTCTCACTTTGGTAAACCTGCATGACATTACCACATAACTCTCACATTTTACATGACCACATGGCTAGAGATAGAAGACTGAGATGGTAAGTTTTTTTATATCAGCTGGGAAACTGACCTAAGATGGAATACTACTTTCTGTTGCATGAAAAATTGTACATGAAGATTGTCATCATGGAGATTCAATATTTTTAAATTTGTAAGTATTAAATTAAAAAACACAGAAGTTCTATTAGGCACTATTGAGGAGGTTGGTCCAGAAGAAAACACAGATATAACTAAGTATATGTTGTTATGAGAAGACCCAACCAAAGAGACACATACAGGAGGAAAAAAAAAAAAACATAAAACTGTGATAGCTGCAAAAAGAATGCAATGATGAAGTTCTACATGGGTGATAAAAAAACGACATGCCAGAAAGCATGGAAGACAAGTGGACAGTACAGTGGTCTCCTCACCAATAAAAAATTTGACTGATGATGGCCCCATGTGTGGCTGAAACATGTTGCAAATTAGAAGAACATATGTTATAAATTAAAGACATTCTAAAGTATTTAATAGTCACTTTTTGTGTATACGATATACATGCAGTGTCTTCAGGACACTTTACAACACTTAATAACATTTTAAAGTATTAAAACTACACTTTTACTAAAGAACATGTTTTGGGTGTCTTTTATTTAATGTATTTTAAATATCACCGTTGCATTACTGACGGTGTACATATAACTGAATAAGTAATATGTTGATGCTTAATCACCAGAATGAAGGAAAAACCCATAATCTAAAGACAGCAAATAGATTATCTGAAAATGTGGCATAGTCCAAAGTATCTGGGAATGCTTGCTGCTGTTCAGTTCAGATTCTTTTGTCTCCTAGTCTGCTATCTAAAATGTAAGGACTAGAATATATTAAAATATAGTATTACCTACTGTTCTGTATGGACGTGAAAACTGGTTTCTCACATTAAGGAAAGAAAATATACTCAAGGCATCTGAGAGCAGGAAGCTGAGGAGAATATTTGAACTTATAAGAAGGAGATGACAGGTGTCTCAAGGCAACTGGGAGGAAAAAGAAATATATAAAGGATAATATTACAATGGATATAAAAAAAAAATAGAATGGGAGGGTGTGAACTGACTTCATCTGGTTTTGGGATATGGACCAGTGAAGGCTCTTGTGAGCAAGGTAACAAACCTCTGGGTTCTATACATGTTAGTAATTCATTAACTATCTGAACAACAGTTAGCTTCTCAAGAAAGGCCCTGTTCCATAGGATTAATTGGTTATTTACTAAAATAAAACCATACTGATCACAAATTGACAACAAGCTTCTCTTCTGACCTAACAGATTAGTTCTGTCTGTTAATAATTTTGTAACAGAAACAATATGATAAATACAGAGAATTAATCTGATCATCACTAGCTATACGGAATTTCTTTTTCTACTGACCTAATTTGATCCTGGCACTAAAAGGATATGCAAGGAGAGCAGCAGGAGGATATGGTGATGATAAGAAAGATTTCAGTACATCACGTCACATCCACAAAATTCAGGGAATACTACAATCTTAAGAAGACATACGTGGTTCAATCCAAAAGTTCCTGAAATTTGAATTTTGCAGGCGAATGGTTATGAGTACATTGAAAAACTGCTAGGTGTCTCCCCACACACCCATCTTGAATCAGAGTGGCAAGTGGTGTTGAGTTGAGTGGTTGGGTTTATTGTTGGTGAATGTATTTCCATTGTTGTGTTTCCATGAGTCTGCGGTTTTGCGATGGCTGACCTGAGAGAGCAGCGTGTCTGTGTAAAGTTCTGTTTTAAACTTGGGAAAACCGCTGCAGAAATGCACCAAATGTTGAAGCAAGCTTTTAGTGACAACAGTTTATGCGAAACACAAACTTATGACTGGTATAAGCATTTCAAGAATGGCTGAACATCAACTGATGATGAGGATCGTTCGGGACGGCCGTCAACTGGCACCACACCAGAAAATGTCACGAAAGTTAGGGATCTGATTCTGCAAGATCGTAGACTGACCACCCAAGACTTCTGTAACACCTTGGGACTAAGTTATGGTACATATCAACGAATTTTGTCACCCGAGGAGGATTGCGGTGCAGTTTGTGCCAAAACTGCTGCAAAATGAACAGAAGCAGCATCACTTGGAAGTCTGCAGGGAACTTCAACAACAGCTTCAAGAGAATCCAAACTTTCTTTCAAAGGTTGTCACTGGTGATGAAAGTTGGGTTTATGGCTATGACCCTGAAAGTAGGCAGCAATAGTCGCAATGTAAGAGCCCTTCTGCACATTGGCCAAAAAAAGCTCGACAAGTCAAGAGCAACGTTAAGTCCATGTTGATCTGTTTTTTTTTTATATTGACATGATTGTTCATAAAGAGTTCCTCCCTCCTGGTCACAGTCAATAAAGCGTTCTATCACGATGTTCTAAGGCGTTTGAGGGAGGACATGAGGAGAAAATGTCCAGAGAACTGGAGCATGAACGACCGGGTACTCCACCATGACAACGCACGACTGCATATGGCTTATATTGTGCAGAAATTTTTGCTTAAAAACAAGATGGCCATGGTTCCCCATCCACTGCACTCACCAGACTTCTTAGCTCCATGCGACATCTTTCTCTTCCCCAAGATAAAAATTAAGTGGAAGGGGTGAAGATTTGATACAGCTGAGGAAATTCAAGTGGAAATGCAGACGGTACTAAACACCCTAACAAAGAAAGACTTCCAGGATGCATTTCAAAAGTGGCAGAAACGCTGGGACCAGTGTATGCGCTCCAAAGGGGACTACTTTGAAGGTGATGGTGCAGAATAATATCCAGGTAAGATGTAATAGTTTTTATTAATATATTTTGGGAACTTCTGGATTGCACCATGTATATGGAATATTGAACATATGAAATAGAAATTAAAATATCATACCAAGACTGCTGATGGATGATGATGATGATACACGTTTAATTCTGTCAGAATTAGACTGGAAGGCATCTGTATTTGCTACTGGCACAGGACCGATGCTGCCATCTGGGTTATAAAGGCATCCAGGAGAGAGCATCTTCAGTCTGTCTCGTGATGCAATGCGTCTCATTCCCATGATTGGAGACATGTTGATATCTAATGGAAGGAAAAGTTATATTACATGAAAATATTTTAATGACTGTGTAGAATATACATACCACTGAACTTAATTTGATGTACAATTTGTACAATTTGAAATGTGAACCAATGTGTCTGGTTAGTCTTCATTATAGTAATTCAATGATTGTGTTGAGATTTTGTAGTGTAGCATGTAGTATCTAAGACATGGTTCCTCACATAATAAACAGACAAAAATTATCTTCAGGCTGGAGAAACGTCTGTATTACAGATCTTGTTATGCCCTCCCTGGACTGCTAATTTTGTGATTGTGTGCCATCACTCGTACTTTGACTCTCTCCAGCATCTATTTACCATTGCACTTGATGAACAGTTTTCTGCTACATCCCCTACTTTGTCTTCTCTGAGTCACCACTTTGTTACATGGCTAAGTGGAAGACAGCAGTAGTCTATACCTGAGGTCCTCCAGTATCAGACCCTCCTTCACCAGACACAATGGCACATATTTAATTTTTTCAAGCTTCTTTGGTTATTGTATAGTGTTATGTAGTTTTAACCTATGTTCTTCTCCATAATGTTGGCCCCTGTGGTTTAGGCTGATTAATTCTCTCAGCTTCTTGTGAAGTCTGCTTCTCCTCAGCAGGTCAAACACTTCTGCAGTCAACAAAACCATGTGTTTTTCCCTTTAGGTTGCCATACTGCTACTATGATGTCAGTGAGCATGTTTTCCACTGTGTTGAGGGTCAATCTTCCAGATCTGAACCCGTACTAAATGCCTGACAGGTGCAACTCAAGTACATTGTCTGCTATTAGGAGAGGAGTCTGGGAAACATTCTGAATGTACAGCACTCCAATGCTATTCCTTGGTATATATCTGGACAGTTTGTGCCTCCTTTCCCTTTCCACAAGAGCTCTACTTCAACTGTCTCCAGCTATTCAAAATGTTTCCTACTATAACACATTTACTGAACAGATCTGCTCATACGTATCTTCAGCAGCTGCAGATGTGATGCTTTTAGTAGCCTGATATAGATCCTGCTGTCAATTTTTGTATTTGCTATGTTCCACTTCCTCTTCTGTGGAAAGTTCAAACGGTGGTCAATGCTGTTCTTGCTGGTCGGCTAAGCTAATTACTTACAAATTTTGTTTCAGATCCCGGTGAAGTGTTTTTCTCTAGTCTCCATCCTGATTGAACTGGTGTATGCTGGTTGCCACCTGTTTTGTGCCTGGTATAATATTCAGGTACATAGATACAGATTTAAGGCATCAATAATGCCTTCCAAAATCCCTCAATATCAAAAGGTCATCCAGCTGATGTTCCAGTACTTTTAAGAATTATTGGACAAATTTCTGAACAGCAAAGGAATCATCATGCTGATGACAGGATAACTCTATACATACCATAATGGACGTGTCATTTTTATGAATTTGTAAATTTCATTCAGGTTCCACGTGCAAAATAATGAATCTACAAAACCAGAACCATAAATTCTAATCTTCACAAAGCAATTAATAAATGCCTATAACTTCCTCAGCTATGACACATAACTCCTTCTAGCAGAGGAGTAAGTCATCACTTAAGTTTCCTAACATCTTATGTTAAGATTAAGAACTAATAATCACTAAATAGAGATCTGTATTACATTCTGCATTACCTGAAACTGCCTTTTATCAATTATGGTATGATGAGTTTGATCATGTGTCATTCCATCTGGTTGCTTATATACACATGCCATATGTTCCAAGTTAACATTGCTGTTATTTGTCGATATTACTTTCATACCAAGGATCCATAGAACATCATGTTAACTTTATGTTTTAGTTCATCCCAGAGTTTAAAAACGGGGTCTAAGAGGAGGATTACTTGCCCATATAAGTATTCTATGTTGATGAGACTGTAATCACAATGTTAAAGGAGGACTTATTTTTAACAAGATGTTTGGATGAGTTACTGCCATATCAACATTAACATCATATGGACTCTCTTCCTAGTACTGATTTGAAATAACCTTGCCACTATACTACAACAGTGGGTTTTTAAATTAAAATATTTGGTTGTGGCAAAGCTTCATCCCACCATCTTACATTCCCTTTCCTTATTCTAGGTTTGGAAACAGTCTATGCTACTTTAGCAGTGAAATCCCCCAAAAGAGAATTTTCACAGTATCTATGAAAGTGATCAAGGCACAAACTCAGTTCCTCAGTAAAGTTATCCTCTACAATAGCAGTGGCATCCAGTGCCCAAAGGCAGATAACACTAACAGGACATTCTTAGCAAAACTCATAAAGCCCAACCACCTAAGATGTTAAGATGATTGGGTCCCAAAAGTAATACCATCATAAAAACATATTTATATCCCGTTTAAAACATTTCCCACATAAAAAGACACCTTGCCTAATAAGAATAATTTTAAAGACACATATATTTTACATATTAAGTATGTTCTGCTGCATCGCACACGTGTTAAATTTTGTGAAGTTGTATGAAAGTGACCTGAAATGTGTATTATATATAGCTCATATGCATGGCTATAAAAACGAACATAAAATGTAAGGCGTTATCAGTTTCTGCTCAACCATATGTAATGTGCACAAAGCTTGTGGAGTAACTTAGCACTCCAATGTCATTGTTATAATAGCATGGCAAACAAGAAAACGAATTTCAGCAAACTGCAACTAACTTCCTAATTAGGCAGAAGAAAGTTAAAAACTTCTAAGTATGAGAACACCAAATCAATGCTCCTAGAGTGGTTTAGGCAGAAGCAGGCAATAAGTACACCAATTCAAGGTCCAGTGTTGAGAGAGTGAGAGAGCAGGCTAAGTAATGGCCTTAAAACTAAACATCCATTTCACATCTTTGGATGGATGGTTTGATCAATTCAGAGACTATGCAGAGCTTATTATCAGGATTACAAGCAGGGAATCCAAAAGGGTATCTGAAGAGGATGTAGGTGCCTGGAAGTGAGTCTGTTGCAGTGCTTGTATGTGTAGATATGCATAGATCTACAGATGCCATTGCTGATCCTTGGATAGTTAGAGAAGCCAAGGTGCTTCAAGCATTTGATATATGATGGGGTACCCAAAAGAAACCGAACTAATTTTTTTGTGGGCAGAGCTTTTGTAGTACCGCGTTTTGCCGCTATGAGCGCATAGAGCTAACATTCCTGAGTCGATAAGCCGACTACCGTTGCTTCAGAAGGTAAGGACTAGTTTTGGCAGAGTTTATAGTGACAACTGTTCTGTATGATCGTCATTTTTGCAATGGCCCGAACACATGAAAATGCTGAAAAAATTCATAAAATCATCAAGGAAGATTGACGACAGACCATTGAAGAAATTGTGGAGCTGTCGGGAGTGACTTGGAACTCAGTTCAGCGAATTTTGACAGAAGATTTGGGAATGAAAACGGTGGCTGCGAAATTCGTGCCACGACTGCTGACTGCTGAACAAAAACAAGGTCGCATGGAAGCATGCTGTGCTTTGAAAGAAGAGTCCCGAAATGATCAAAACTTTTTTTCAGCGTTTTGCTGATGTTGCTGAGGTGAAGGAAAAAAACGACGGAGGCGCTGTCAAGCATCTCAAAAGATGAATTTAGACAATATTTTGAAAAATGGAATAAAAGACTAGACAAGTGTATTAGGGTAAGTGGAGAGTACGTTGAAGGGGATTCAAGGTTTGTGCTTAAAATTTGAATAAGTTAAAAAAAAATAAGTTTGGTTTCTTTTGGGTACCCCCTCGTATCTGGCATACACATACAGACAAAATACAATGTGTTCAATGATCAAGGAAACCTGGCAACAGCACGGAGTGGGCACAACATTTCTCACAGATTGCTCCTTAACTGCCAGTAGCAGAATGAGTTATTAGTTCTGATAAATGCATGCCGTCAGGTGATGTTATCTTGTCACTGCAGTAAGGTGCATTCATAGTCAGTCTATGTTAGAGGTGTCAGCAGGCAGTTGACATTTATACTGAAATGAAGTTCACTATTGAACATCTTGTGTTTATTGTCAAAATTTTTGCAAGGAAAAAACTTACAGAAAATGTATCCAAAAGTTTTGTCGTAAATATCCTGACTCATTAGTTCCCACGAAGTCATGTGTATCCAAGCTTGTGAAAAAGTGGTGGGCCACAGGTTCAGTGTGACATGAAGAAGCAATTGAAGAGGATTGTTTTGACTGAAGAAAAGGTTTGGGATAGTGAAGCACGACTACAGCTCAGTCCTCGAAAATCATTAAGATGCTTAACACAGGAAACCAGAGGTTTGCTAGGATCTGCTTTCACAGCCACAAAATTAATCAAATTTTGCCCGTAAAAAATAACAATTGTGCATGAGCTGAAGCAACCAGAATATGCAGCAAGAATTTGTTTTTGCAACTGGCTGCTGCAAAATGTGCATGATGGAATCGTGGATCTATGGCTTCTGTTGATGACTGATGAAGCGTGGTTTCACATTAGTGGTCATGTCAATGCACAAAATGTGAGAATATGGAATGATGAAAATTCTCACACTTTACAGCAAGTGCCATTACATAGTGAAAAGGTGGGGGTGTGGTGTGCTGTAAGTCCAGGTGAATCATTGGCCCCTTATGTTTCCATGAAACTGTGAACTCTCACCACTACGTTAATGATATACTGAATCTGTTCTTCAATCAGCTGACTGCTGAAGAAAGACAATATGGGTATTTTCAGCAAGACAATGCTACAGCACATACGGTTAATGCAACGATGGTCATAAGTTAAGTGTTTGAAAACAGAATAATCAGCAGGGGACTGTGACCTCCCAAATCTCCAGATTTCAGTTTTTGCGATTTTTATTTTTTGGAGACACCTAAAGGGAAAAGTGTACAAGAATAATCCTTGCACCACCGAAGCTCTGCAGAATGAAATACATGCACAACTGGTTCAATGATCGTGGACCAACTTCAGATAGTGTTGCATAATTTATTTATGCGATGCGAGGCATGTTTGCGAGCAGAAGGGGGTCACTTCCAACACCTGTTATAAAGCACGGCAAGTTTGTGTTATCTGTTTACATTATTCTTATAAATGTGTGCATGTATAGAAACTGATGTGAGGGAATCAGTGACACGACTGCACTATCACTAACGGGGAAGGGCACAGTAGTCGCAGAGAAATGTTCTATCCGCTCTACACTAGTGAGAGTGTGCGTGTTTATCAGTGCTAATGATTCATTCTGCTATTGGCAGTTACAGCAGCAATCTGTGAGAAATGTTGTGTCCGATCCATGCTGCTGCCAGGTTTCCTTGATCCTGTAGTAGTGTATGGATAACTTGTGCACTGTTCATGGAGTTCCTAACACGTTCTGAAAGAATGACAGGAAAACATAACTGAAAATACTGCTGTTTATACATCAGTGTGCAGAATATGCCAAAGATATCAGTAAATTAAGAAATGAGCAATGAAAATTCTGCCCGTGAACCCAACAATGGTCCCACAACCAATGGACCAAAGGATAAGCATCTCCTCAAGGAAATATAAATGTAACAGTTGCCTTGTATGCAAGTTCCTGCAAAGCATCACAAATGCCAAAGTATGCTACAAATTATCTTTGTGTGATGTCATATAAACAACATTTCATAAGAGATATGTAGGTATATTTATGATATATTTCTATACCAAATTTCATATGCCTAGTTCCAACAGTTCATTAGTTATAGCATAAAAACAGAGAGTGAGTGAAAATTTTCGCCCAACTGCAATGTTTAACAAAAGGCACATATTTTTCAAAGACCTGCTACTGTACATCATTTCAAAACACTAAATTTAGTGGTACTCCAAATTCATACAATTGTATCTGTTGTGTTGTTATTACTGACTGCTGAAAATTAAAAAGTATGTGGGGGTGGCTTCTAATGACACAATGTTTATACCAAATTTCACAAAAATTAGTCAGCTGATCCAAAAGTTGAAATGGGATGGATATGCATTCATGCACACATGCACTAACACACACACAGCACAACAATTCTGCAAGTCCATTTTTTCCCTTAAGGAATAATAGTAGGCTAGGAATTAAAATATTAATATTTACAGACACCTAGATATTGAGAAATTAGTGGCAAAGCAACAATTCCAAGCTTCTTATCCATGTTCTAACTGCAAGAAGCACAGTCCTTGAAATGACAGCTGGTGATGAAGAGAACAATTACATCAATAGCAAAGCTGATTTGTGAATCAGTGCAACAAATCAATTTATTTTTCTAATAAAGAAAACACTCCATAAAACCAATCTTTAAATATGTTACTATAACAGATTTTTAACTGCATTTATGAAGCCCTGATTATGAGCATCCAACCTGCCAAAACAGTCATTTGTAGAGTCTTGCCTTCCTCCTGGAAAGCCACAGAGAGGAACGAGTTCTCAAACAGCAGCACCATCCACTGCAGAGCAACCACAAGTTCCTGCAGAGAAAATGCAACTGCAATTGGGAAGAAAACTGCAATATAAATGTGAACATTATTCGGTTTGTATATTATGTTGTGGCATTTTACATTTTAGATTTCTGATTTTAAAAACTAAAAATCTGGAATTTGATTTCAGCCTGAAAAGGACATACGACGTAACTTATCAGTATTAAAAGGTTCATTCACTGAAAGGATAACAAGTCAGTACCTACATCATTACTAAACAAAGTTTCTCATATTAGAATATAAAGCTTCAACACCACTAACCTACCTTAACCTTTGAACACCGGACTTCGAAATAGTGGTAAGCTTGAGCTGGCTGGAGTTTAGAGGGGCTAGAGGGGTCCCTTCTTCAGTGCTAAAACCTTCTGTTAGAGCTGCAAAACTTACTGCCCCTTCTATTTGAATGAACAAACAGCTGCATCGTGGCTGAGACACAGTGTGATCTGTTTTGTGTGCGTTCGTAGTGAAATCGAATACTGTAGTTTCATTTTAACCTATATATACATCAAGCAGGTAACAACAAAAAAGGTATGTACATCGAATTTTACAATATATTTTTAACATACCTATCTGCAGAATCTGCAATAAAATTACTGGATCGTGGATAAGTTTTGGCATAACTCATACATATATTTTTATTTGCTGTTGTTCAGTTAGGTATTATTTTAATTCCTCTATCAGGGTTTTACTCAAGTCTGTCTGGTAATTACTACATTTAAAAATAAATATTTAGGACTGTGCATGCGCTTCTACTAGCGGCGTGTGCGCGCGCTTCCAATAGCGGAGTTTAAATGCCCGACTGGCCAAAACGGGGTACTTTGGCCACGATGACCTTACTCATGACTGGCACAAACGGGGCACTTTGGCTCTCAAAGGTTAACCCTTTCGCGCGGTCATTTAAATTCCGTGGCCGTCTCTCCGGCGGTAATATATTCAGCCGTCCATTTAAATTTTGCTCGAAAATGATTTATTCATCATTGTTCTTAAATTATATGAGATAGGAACATGAAACTTTTACTAAAATGATCTTAAAAGGTGGTTTTATAACCTTACCTTATAATATGAGCGCCCTGCATCTCGGCAATGGAAGCAGGTTGTTTAGTATTTGAGCAGTGAATGGTACGCCTTGAAGGATGAAACTTTCACTAAAATGATCTTAAAAGATGGTTTTTATAACCTTACCTTATAATATGAGCGCCCGGTATCTCGGCAATGGAAGCAGTTGGTTTAGAATTTGAGCAGTGTAA